AATCGGTGGGATGAACCTCCCTCAGGGGCCTTGGCGCGGATTACAGGTTGCAATCCCGCCTGCCGCCTTCCTCTCAGGATGAATAGACTAGACTTAGAGCAAGAAGGGCAGGGGTAGAAGATATTAGACTCTCAGATCCAAGGGAGGTGCACTCGGACTCGCGTGAGAGGGCCTTGATACCTTGATTCACCTGAGGGCCCCGCAATGATGGCCATCACATTACAGCTTGGCCAAAACTGACGCCGAACTGTCGAACTCGGCCCTCCGGACGAACCCCCAACCCATAGCAACAACCCCCTACTCGTCCAGTCCGATTACCTCCCCAATGCTCAACTCCTCTCCTCAGCCCAATCACTGCTACACAGCGGCCTGAAGCAACGTATAGCTGCCATCAACACCCAGCAGCAGCTTGCAACAACCTCTACATAGGCCAATACAACAGGCTCACAGATCAAACCGCTACCATGCCAAATAACTGTAGTCTGTTTCCTCGAAATCCAACTGCCGCCATGCACCCCGACGAGGCGGTGCTCACAAATTTCACGCTCCACCGTCAACCATAGCCGCCACCCATAGTTGCCGCGACAAACCTAGTAAGGCATAGTAGGCGCAGCAAGCCAGCCAACAGGTAAGACAGTATCCCACGGTTGACTCCGGCTATGCCGGCCAAAGAAATGGGCGGCCCGCACGTCAGCAGATAGGATCCCCAGCCTCCCCATTCGCCCCTCATTCCTCCTTTCTGCTGGCGAGCAGCGTACCAGCCATGGGTAATACCCAGATCTGCAGGCACTAGCTGGACTCGGGCTGGTTTACATGGCAGGATGGGCTGCTTACTGACTATAGGAGCAATTCGTAGGCAAGCTTCATCCTCACCACTCGCCCCCGGCTTGTGTTTGATCTCTCACCCTTCTATTCTGCCAGATTACATGACATAGCGGTCAGTCAATGAGTATACGGCCCCAGCGGTCTTCTTTCCCCATTACTCCGCTTGATGGGAGGGGCACTGCTCCAACTCACCGGTAAGTCCCCCGTCTCAGCCTCCCTCTCACTCTCTCTCTCCGACACCCCACTGTCACAGGCATTCACCCCTTCTAGAAGGAACATGAACCTCCTACTATAACCCGACTAGATACGCCATACTTCTCCCAGCAACATCTGCAGCGAGGCAAGTCGGACCTCCCCCCCCATCAACCTCCCTGAGCGGCACACCGAGCGAGGGGTAAGTCTCTACTCCCGCGGCTAGCCTTATGTTGCTCCCTCCTATGGTAGGAGCAAAGATCTACGTGAATCCTTCACAAAAAGGCAGCCGGATACACGCTCACCTCTCCCTCCGCTATCCCCACCAACAGTATATGCAAACCCGAATGAATCTACCTTTAGAACATGGCCAAATACATTGCTATTCGTGCGCAGGCTCGAAGCTCCTTCTCTGCGCAACCACCAACCCCCCCCCCTCGTGAAACCAACACTCTACTAGACGAACTAACGTTGCTAACGAGCTCGCCCGGGGCTACAACCCCCAAAACGAGTCCTCCCCCGCCGATTTTTGCTAAGGGCTGGGCGAGATCCGCCTGTCTCCATCCCTCTTCTCGTTCCTACCGCCATATCCCCCCGCCAGCCTTTTCTGCACTAATTTCAAGTCTACTAACCTTTAACCCAAACTAACACTACCCTCGAAGTCGCCCCAGCTGCAAACCTCTATTCTAACCTTCAACCCACTCGATCCTATCAGGAATTGGGTTGTACCTCAATTCTTCCCCCTCGTCGTTTCTCTGTCCGCCATGGCTCCGCGCAGCCATCTTTTCGCCTACCGCCTATTCTACTAACCCTTCGCTAAAACTGACCTTACCATTCGTTTCGCCCGGGGCAAAACCCCGGGATCGCCTCCTACCCCTCCCGATTCTGCCACGGTCCGAGAGAGTTATGCTGTCTTTCCCATGCTCAGCTCGGCGCCCCGCCATAGCCTGCTCGCTAGCTGCATGCACCCCACGCCTCTTGTCATCTTGATTCATCCGCCGGTCTCACCACCTTACCGACCTCCCCCCCCCTCTCCTCGTATCTTCGTCAACCCGACAACGAAACAGCCCAACGTGCCCGTTCGCCCTGCTGCCTGCCTTCCCTGCCTTCCCGACTTGGTCCGCATGTACCCGGCGCCTGTTCACGCTTAGGTTCATCTCGCCCCCGCTACCTTCGCCACGCCGCCTCCGCTAGTAGTCGATCCACCACACCCGACTCCAACTGGCAAATGAAAACGAGGCTGCGAGGACAAAAAAGTAGAGCGCTTGGGCTCTCCCCCGATTTATAGAGGTTACCCCTGGGCAGGCGCCGTGCGAATCTTCTGTGTATCGTTCCAATTTTAGCGGCGCAAGAAGAGCGCTTGGGCTCTCCCCCGATTTATAGAGGTTACCCCTGGGCAGGCGCAAGTAGAGCGCTTGGGCTCTCCCCCGATTTATAGCCCTGATGCTATCGGCTGACCCCAGGCCGGAATCGTCCACTTGCCGTAGCGGGTATCGCACCTGCTGGTGGGTACAGCTCCCGCATGTTCCCTCGTTGGAGGCTTGAACACGAATGTGGCTGCTATGGAGTTCCCCAAAACATTACAACGAGTTAACTTCGATGCGGCCACGAAGACTACTTGCCGCTGCATCTCAGGCAATCCCGCGAATACGACGTATCCTCACGCTGGCTCGCGTCCCCGAACGGGACAAGATAAATAAAACACAAAAAGGAAATAAAATAAAATAACAATGGTATCGGGGAAAACCGCGGGGTTGCTGGCACCTCGCCTGTCCCGCGGATCGGGCCCGCTGCCGCGCTTGAAAACAAAACTGAGGGGGATAGCCCCACAGCCCTCAACCCCTCAGGCTTTCGCTCCACGCTACTCCGCTGCCGCCGCACTGCGCCCGCTGGCCTCGATCCCCAAACCTCCATAGTAACAATCCACTATCGTAACCTATAGGGCTATGCCCAAGCCTGAGACCAGCGCCCGCAGATTACCATACAAGGCAGTGAGGCGCGACGCTTTGGGCCAACAAACCGGCTGCGCGGCTCCCAGTGCCCGCGCCGACTTACTTATACCATGCCGTAATTGCCCCGCGCACCATCCTACGACACCCCGCTCACCGCACGAAGTCGCGCCGTCATTGCCGATGTCGTCGTCGAGATCGTTCTCCGCACGAGCGCTCGACTCGGTCAAACGTAGCCATCAAAAGGAAATATCCCCTAGTTCCTGCTTAATCAAAAATAAATAAATATCAACAATATCATTAAACAAGGCGACCGACGTCCAAGCCGGCTTTATGATCAACGACAGAAAAGAATCACGCGTGCCTTTAACCTGCCCGCCCACGCACTCTCTATTGTGGTCAATCACCTAGTCAACGCAATCACAGACGCAGCCGCGCCTAGCGCGGTATACTTAACTTTAAGCCCACTTAATTCCTGTCACTTGCAAAAACCGGGGCGGATACCCTTGTAAGGGTATTCGCGCCGACAGCGCATTGCCACTCACGAAACAGTGTATACATGGTGTGGAGAGGAATTGATCTCCCTCTCCCCTCAATGTCCCATGGGGATTTGCCGTTTTTCTGTTTCTTTTTTTTTCGAACAATGTTGGAAATAAAAAAGGTGGTGAATCTGGTGATGGCGCAATGCCACTGAGGAAATAGTGTATAGATGGTGTGGAGAGGGATTGATCTCCCTCTCCCCACAATACCCCATCGAGATTTGCTGTTTTTCTGTTGTTTTTTTTTTTCC